TCCAGAAGACTTTTGCAAAGCTGGACATCACACTGTAAACATTTTATAATGGAATTCCTAATATACTGACTTTACTATTCATCCCATTCACCTTTCAGAGGTCATACGGAACTAAGCAGCCACTTGAGGTAAAGATTCAACCAACCAGGAAAAGGTCCAGCTTTCATGACGCTCAAGGGTTAAGTGAGTTTTGAGAGGCTTGCTACTTCAAGTGGGTGCTGGGGCCATGGTCAGGTCACTCCTTCAACATTTATCTGAGAATCAGAACATACAATGATTTGTTTCTGATGATTCTTGTACACATTGAGGTTTTGCTAGGATTCTATTTGGTCTCACACAACATCAAATGTTTATCTTTGTGAATGATAGATATACGGTATCAGTGTAATTGTACCAATTCTCCTTGTTGATTCTTCTCAGAAAATAAGACCCCATCTTGAAATCTCTGTAAGATGAGGCTAAACAGATAGTATAGCCTTCTCCAAAAGGCACCTACCTTTGGGGCATTTCCAAAGAATGAGGTCTGAGGGCCCACCTCCCCCCAGATCTGTAACTGACTAGCTGACTAACCTTGAGCACATCATTTGACCTCCTCGGGCCCCAGCTTCCTGGTCTTTAAAATGTGGATAGTAACACCTACTTCAGAGAACTCCTGGGAGATTAAATGGGCTAGGTGAGGTACTAAAATAATATCTACCACATAGTGGTAACATTAAATAAATAATTGCAATAATGTACTAGAATAATTACTGAGAAGAGGAGAATATGGCCTGCAAATATACTGCAGATGAAACTGTCTGCCACATTCTATCAAAAAGTCCCTTTCATGTGATTACATTGATCACTGTTACATTTTGGGGAAAATCATTTGTAATATAATGGACATAAAGCACATTGTCATTTATTTGACTACACAGAACCTAATGGTAAAAGAAATTGGAAAAAGAAAAGGAAAAGAAATCCCTGGCTATCACGAAAAGTGTATCTTAACTGTGAGTTAAGAAAAATAATCCCCCCCCAAAAAAAGAAAATAATCCCTACCATAATAAATGATAGGTTTGTAAAAAACAAAGTAAAATGACTGATGATTCACAAAACAAAAAGAAAGAAAAATAATCCCAAGTAAAAAGCAGTTTTAAGTGTGACTGGCATCAATCAGTCCAGAAGAAACCAGAGCCCTGTACCTATCACATTAAGCACCAAATCCTACTTTGCTCAAGTGATGGGCTCCAGAGAGTCCTCCCAGCCTTGGGAGGAGAAGGAGAAGGAAGGGGAACAATCAGCAGGACTGTCCCTAGTGCAGGAGGAGAAAGGATGGCTCCATGAAGATCTTGCTCAGCCTGCCCTATACAGGGATGACCTCACCAAATTCTCATACCCTATATGATCAGACACAAATTCATCATATCATCTATTTCCACACATGTTTTTGTGCTATGAATAAAGTGCACCAAAACGTATGTGTTCATCCATTCAAACACATGTAGTAAGTGCCTACGACATGCCAGCGAACCTGATGGGTGCAGAGATCCATGGTCAACTCAGCTCACTAGTATTTCCCTAATATTTAATGATTACAGCAATCATACCTCTTATTAGAACTATTTGTAAACACTTCTTTCTTCCCTGTTAGATTATAAATTCTCGAAAGGAAAGGCCAAATTTAATCATCTTGTTTCCCTTGGCTCCTAACAGAGTGCTCCACGAATAGATATTACCCAATAAATGTTCACTGAACTAAATCAACTCCAGTATGCATAGAACGGGAGAATCCACAGCCTCCCTCCTGTGAGTTCTTCAGATCTTAAAAATCCTTTGTCTGAGGTGACTAACCCTTTTTAAACCTGGCTGACTGTGGGATGCAAAATGGAACATTTTGAAACAAAATCTGGAAAATGTCTGTGCTATCCCATGAGTATAAGCAGCAAAAATGAAGTTAAGGGAGAAGTGTGAGATCACCCAAACATTTTATAAATAGACCAGTACGTTTCCCAGTGACCAAGTGCCTGAGTAGATGATCAGGCACCATCACAGTTCAGCCTTAATCTTAACATCCTGAGCCTGGCAACGGAAGGTACACAGCTACTGGAAGTAAGCAAATGGCATCCACCCCAGTGTCCTTCCCTAGGTAGAGACATCTAAGGAAGTATGAGGTCTCTGCAGAACTTGGGCAGGACAATGAGAAATGTACCAGTCTGCGTACACTCTAAGCAAATCAAGATAAACTGTGGCCCCTTCTGAGGTCCACTAGAGACTTAGAATTTCGTTGGCCTCACATAATTGACCAAAAAGAAAAAAGGACAGGATTGAAAGGAAGCCTAGCACCCCCTGCCAATACTTATCCTGATTCCTAAAAGTCACAAGGTTGAAGGTAAAGCTGAGAACAGAGAGGAGGAATAAGATACTCCTTTCTTTTAAGATTGTATTTATTTATTCATGAGAGGCACAGTGAAAGAGGCAGGGACATAGGCAGAGGGAGAAGCAGGCTCCCTGCAGGAAGTCTGATGTGGGACTCGATCTCAGGACCCCGGGATCATGACCTGAGCCAAAGGTAGACACTCAACCACTGAGCCACCCAGGTGACCGATACTCCGTTCTAATAAGAAAACACAGGGGCACCTGGGTGGCTCAGTTGGTGAAGCAGCTGTCTTCAGCTCAGGTCAGGATCACAAGGTCTTGGGATCAAGCCCCACATTGGGCTCCCTGCTCAGCGGTGTGTCTGCCTCTCTCTCTCCCCTTTCCCGACACACACACACACACACACACACACACACACACACACACACTCATGCCCTCTAATCTGTCTCAAGTAAATAAAATCTTTTAAAAGAAGAAGAAGAAGAAGATGTCTAAAGAGTTCATTCCTATCAGAAACCTGAAGGCTGAAATATACACCATGAGATCAGTATGATACCAGCTATCCTGGAAAATCCTATTCATCTTTGTTAGGACTAGAATTTGGAGCTCAGCCCAAATTTTTCTTACTAATCCCTTAATGATAATAATTGATTTCTCTCACAGAACAAGTCTTCTGATCCTCCGATAAACAGGTGGCTAAGCCTTTATGAAGGCTAAATAAATCCTAATTTCACCAATGGGAAAATGAGAAGACCAAATGGTAAAACCATCCCTCTAAGATTATGCAACAAGTCAGTGATTAAACCAGTGTAGCGCCTCCTCAGTTCTGAGGCTCTTACAGAATTTATAGGCTTCAAGCAATGTACTCTTTACATATAAAATCTATGTGAGAATAATGGTCCTTGCACAAGAGAAAATAGAAGAACCAAAGCTAATGAGCTTCATTCATACCTTATAACAGAGAACTGTAAAGATTCGTGATGGCCCCTTTACCTGGACTGTAAGCATAATCCATGTTAGAATAGCATCTGAAATAGATTTACAACTCAGAAAAAAAGCCTAGCTGGTACAGAACAGCCACAGCAGAGCACAACACAGCACGATGTTACTCCACACTACACTCTTCAAGAGTTCGTCTGGGTTCACATCAAAAGCAACTCCATGGTTTTAAAAAAGAAAAAAACAGACGGTAACCAAGAATTTGCAAAAAAATACTTATATCAGGGGATTCCTGGGTGGCGCAGCGGTTTGGCGCCTGCCTTTGGCCCAGGGCGCAATCCTGGAGACCCGGGATCGAATCCCACGTCAGGCTCCCGGTGCATGGAGCCTGCTTCTCCCTCTGCCTGTGTCTCTGCCTCTCTCTCTCTCTGTATGACTATTGTAAATAAATAAAAAAAAAATTTAAAAAAAAAAAATACTTATATCAAAAAAAAAAAATACTTGTATCATGTCACAAAGGACTAATAACCAGAATAAAGAAGTTTCCAAAAAATATCAGTGCATGTAATAATTCCAAAGATAAGTGGGCAAAAAAAAAATTTTTTAAAATTGGCCAATAAAGGTACCTAAGGATTTTTTTTAGGTACCTTTTTTAGGTAAAGGTACCTAAAAAAAAATCAATATTAAAATAATGAAAGAGTTTTTACATTAAAATCAGAAACCAGGGCAGCCCAGGTGGCTCAGTGGTTTAGCGCTGCCTTCAGCTCAGGGCCTGATCCTGGAGACCCGGGATCAAGTCCTAAATTGGGCTCCCTGCATGGAGCCTGCTTCTCCCTCTGCCTGTGTCTCTGCCTCATTCTCTCTCTCTCTCTTTCTCTCTCTGTCTCTCATGAATAAATAAATAAAATCTTTAAAAAAAATCAGAAACCAAATAATGAGATTACTTACAGCTGGTGCCAGCTAGAGGCTTACTACTGAGTCATGGATGGAATCCTACATGGGCACAACCTATCTGAAAGGCAATCTAGCAATCTCTGCCAAAATTTTAAGTGTAAGTACCCTCATCCAATAATTCCATTCCCAGGAATTTATCCTAAAGAAATAGTTGTATATATCTGTATCTATATAGATATAGATACACATACACATACAAGCATTCTATTAATAAGAGCCAGGCGCTGACAAGTACCTAAACACTCTTCAACAGGGATTAAATTATAGCATAGCTACACATGAAAGTCAATTCATGATTAAAAAGAATAAGGAGGAACTACCTAAATGTTGACAACAAAAAGACAAGGGCCACTCAGTGCAGGGCACCCCACCACCCAGGACGGCAGCCTGTGTGCAGCCCTGTATCCCCACCATACTACATTCACATTGTGTCCCTTTAATCTAAGGGGCACCCCATGTAGAAATACAAACCAATTCCAAGATTCATAGCCTTTCCAACACATTGAAAGCATGCTCACTGGAACCTGCTAGTCACCCCTTCTGAAATCCCCAATTTTGGCAATCCCCAAGTCAAATGGCTTTTTAAAGCAATGCTCACCTATGCGTGTGGTGAAGTGAAAAATCAGAACATGCCATCCCGAAGCCAAGGGAAACAGAACCTATTTTTAAAAACACCATTCATGGGACACAGAAGCCCAAATTTAAAACTTTAAGCAAAGGTTTAGGGTGTGGTTGGGGGGCAGGCTCACCTCACAGGGAGAATAGCAGGTTTCAGTTCACAGGACCAGGAGCAAGAACCTACAAGAGAAGAGAGAGGTCCAGTTCAGACTCACAGAAAAACTCTTGGTCCGCAGTTCATAAACCATGGTCCCAGGGTGCCCCCAGGGTCTCAAGACCCTTCCAGGGGTCTACAAGGTTCAAACCATTCTCACAGAAAAACACATAATTTCTCTTTCCTGTGCTCCTCTCATAGGGGCACAGCGGAGTCTTCTGAGGCCGAGGAGCACGACACAGCACAAAGACTTGAGAGTCTGGCTGTATTCTCTCCAGCCAGATATTAAAGAGATGGAACTGGAGGGGATTATGCTGAGTGCGATCAGCCAATTGGAGAAAGACAAGGATCATATGGTCTCACTCATGTGGAATACAAGATACAGTGCAGAGGACCATAAGGGAAGGAGGGGAACCTGAGTGGGGAAATATTAGAGAGGTAGACAAACCATGAGAGACTCCTGACTCTGAGAAACAAACTGAGGGGGAGGGGAGTGGGGGATGGGGTGACTAGATGGTGGGCATTAAGCAGGGCACACAATGCGGTGAGCACTTGTGTTACATGTTGGCAAATTTAATTCAATTAGTTAAAAAATAAAAAAAATTTGCAAAAATGTAAAACAATGCCATTCTGCTTGTTAATATTTTGTTGTTTTGGAAAAGAGTGATTTTCATAAAACATATTATTTATGATAAAAGGTAAAGGGCTTACTGCCATGTTTCATTAATTAATAACTATTTTTAAACTTCTCAATTTTAATCCTGGTATCACAAACATCAGTAGAGATAAGCTACATAATAAAAAGCTCTCTGGGGTCTGTAAATCCTCAGTAAGTTTTACAGATGTCAAGGGGGGGAGGGTCTAAGACCAACATTTGGACAACTGCTAGTCTAGGTGTCTATGTTTGGTACTAAATTCTGTTAAAATGCATATGCTTTCAATAAGGGGAGTGCACAATACTGGATATGCAGCAGTGACTACGTACCATGCGCTCCACTAGATACTTTCCATGTTATTTCCAAAACTACTATCACTTACACACAAAAATGACCTCTTCTGCCTCCCAGATGAAGAGACTGGTACTCTAAGAGATTATCTGCCCAAAGGGAATCACCCAGAACAAGGTGTGAACTCAAGGCCGCCTGGCTCCTAAAATCATGATCTTTTACTACATCATTTCTAAAAAAAAGTAATTAGAAGAATTTCTGCTGACTGAACCGAAGCCAGGCACACCACGGCCTGCACTCCTTCTTGACATAATGCAGACTCAACACACAACAGTGTGAGGTGCACAGCTCGGATGACCTGGCGTCAACATGGCTTCTCTAAATCCTGCCAGAGATCTGCACTCCACTCCCTACAAAAGACAGACCCCAACAAGTGGGGTGAGCCATGACATCTGGGTTTATGCCTGTGGTCCCAGCAGAGTATTAACAATGACCCTCTCATCCACACGGTCACCAATTACAGAGCCACCTACTGACAAGGCTACCATTGGCCTTGCCTCTAAAAAGCCCACCTTTCTGAATCTGTCTCCATTTTAATGAAGTATTCAAACAGTTGAAGAAATGTGACTATTACTGGTCCCTCACTGTAGCTGAATTTAGGATTGAATGTACCTACAAAGGAAGGGAGGGAAATTCTCATTGACTTTACTCATGGAGCCAATATAGTCAATTCTAAGCTTAAAAAGCTAAAGCATCATATGGCGAATCCCTCAATAAACCTGAACATGGAATTACCATATAATCTAGTAATTCCACTTCTGGATATGTACCCAAGAAGACTGAAAGCAGGGTTGTGAAAAGATATCTACACACCCATGTTCACAGCAGCATTATTCACAATAGCTAAAAGGGGGAAGTAACCCAAGTGTCCATCAACCAATGAATGGACAAACAAAATATGGTAAATCTATACGATGGAATACTACTTAGCTTTAAAAATTAGGGAATTACAACACATATGGATGAACAATTACAACAACATGGATGAACCCTGAGGACATGATGCTCAATGAAATAAACCAGTCACAAAACAACGAATACTACAGGATTCCACTTATAGGAGGTACATACAATAACCAGCTTCACAGAGACAGGAAGTAGAGTGGTGGCTGCCAGGGGCAGGGGAATGGGGAGTTAGTGTTTACTGAGAAAAAAGCCTCTGTTTGGGATGATGAAAAATCTCTCAAGACAGATGGTTGCACAACAATATGAATATACGGTAGCTACTGAACTACACACTGAAAAATAGTAAAATGTATGTTATGTATAGTTTAACACACACACACACACCAAAAAAAACAAAAAACAAAAAACCACACCAAAGTATTTATCAAAAAGATTTCCCAACACTAAGTAATTAGAAAAAGAATATGTTATTGGGCATCTTATCTCACATCATTGTTTCAATCTTCACTAGTTTATTAAATCCAACCAAGCATTCATCCACTCGGTCATGTTCACTGACATCTCTCAGTTTCCAGCTCCTGAGATAGGAATGCCTGAAAAAGAGCCTCAGGGACTCAGACACAGCGCCAAAAGGCAACCTGGAAAGGCCTACATAGGAGACACAACCATACTTAAATGATAAATGTTGCTTGCACACAAAGCATGAACTTGTACAATTAAAAAAAAATGCAAGTCCTCTAAAGTATCGATATTTTTCAAAGTTTTAGGAACCTATTTTTTTTTCCCTCTCAAGAGGCTTTCTGGTTTTCTACATTTTTTTTAATGCTGATACATTATAAAGCCCTCAACTTTAATTTATGAAGTAAGTCTTTAGAAGTCCTATTGATTAAACAGTTTGTGTTTCACAACTAAATATTTTATGGTTAATTTCTCTTCTCCAGCAGAGACCCCTTAAATGATGTTGTAATATCCCCTACACAATGAACACAACTCCGTAAGAGGCGCTTTTCCTTCCTTTGATACAGCAAACATCCTGTAAACAATCTATGCCCCACTCTTTTAACTCACTGCCTTTGTTTACTGACAGGAAAAGAGACTACAAATCCTCCAAGTGGCACTAAGGGCCTCCTTCATTTCCTACGAAGCAGGTGGTTTAGATGAGGCAACTGGCTATTGTCTTTTGCCTTGTTTTCACTTTACAGGAGAAAATGAGTAAGCTTTCAGTGGACCATAGTCCTCTCAAACAGCCAAACTTGGGACTGTGGGCCGTCTTGCAGAGAGCGGGTCAGGGAAAGGCAAGATGCTCTCCTGTTCCCCAGTCCACGGCTGAGAGGAGGCGACTCACACTTCAATAGGGAGCTCAGCCAGAAAGCCAGATTTGCAGGCAAAGAGAGGCCTGGCCCTTTGTTCCCACCAGCAGGTTCTTCAGATGCTTTCCCAGTGACACAGGGTTCTGAGAGAGTGAAGGCAAATATTTACTTTCCACCAAGAAGAATAAAAATATTCCATCCAGCTCAAAGTCATTATTTCTCCAGTGTTAGGGTAGGCTCTCTAGTATTCAGGAAAAACACCAGAGAAAGGCTAGTTTTTGTGATTTTTTTATTTTAAAACTAAAAAGGCCTTTCATAATAATGACAGGTTTCCAAGAGGCTAAGTCCTAAGCACTAATTTTCTGTGAACTCAGGCAACATACATGAGAAATACCTGCCTGTCTCCCCCGACCCACCCTGCCTCTCCACCCCACCAGAGCCCAACATTCTGGGCCAACAGGCTGGCCACAGTTCCTGCACCAAATCTAGGAACCACATCCCATGCATCATTATTGGGCCCAGGGGTGCACAGCTGGAATCCTAACCCAGATCTCACCTACTCCACAAGGAAAGTACACACCTCAGGAGACAGGGCCTCTAGAAGCATATAACCTAATACAGAATTGGCACCAGATTCAAACAGTCAACTCCTAGAGAGAGTCTGGGATCACAGAGGATTCTGCAGATGAACACCATCTGCTCCAGGAAATGCATTCTGGAGAGCAGTATACCTGTCCCGCCCAGTGTTCAACAGCACTGACCACTCACCAGCACTAGTCATCAGGCTTTACTAACTCAACCAGTTGCACATAGACACACGGAGACGAAGGGTCTGTTAATTGTTTCTAGTGTATTCAAAGGTCTGTTTTTATGCAGATGTCTAAATCACAGACAAGATGTCAGCTCAAGCCTCAAGCAAATGACCAACTACTCTAAAGAGTGTTTTCGTTATGAATCAGGTCAGCACAACGTAAAACTCTCAACATAGTCATGTGGTTTCACTGCAGACACTTCCTTTTGATTTCAGCGTGGCGTGACACAGTACGTCACTGGGGGGGGGGATTCTGGGGGAGTTTTGGTGGCTGCTATATATATATATTTAAATTACAGTAAGAACATTTACCACAAGATTTATCCTCTTAACAAATGACTAAGAGCACAATACAGTATTATTAACTTAATAGGCACAGTGTTGCACACACAGATCTCTAGAAATTATCCATCTTATATAACAGCAACTTTATACCTTTTTGAACGGCAGGCAACTCTCCATTTGCCCCCTGCCCAGTCCCTGGGAATCACCACTCCACTCTCTGTTCCCATGGGTCTGATTATTTTTAGATACTTCATGTTAAGTAGAATCATGGAGCATTCTCCTACTGTGACTAGTTTATTTCACTTAGTATAACATCCTGATAACTTTATCCTTGTCACATATGGCAGGATTTCCTCTTGTTTACAGCTGAATAATATTCCTTTGTGTGTGTGTGTGTGTGTGTGTGTGTGTATAGAGAGAATATATGTAGTGTGTGTGTGTATATATGTATATATACATATATATACATATATACACACACACACTGGCATTCTTTTTAAGTCAGGTAGAAATAAGAGGGGTTCTGCAAATAGAGCCCCTTCAAAGTTATTTTAACACTTGATAAATATTTACTTAGCACCTCTAGCATCCAAACACTTTACTGAATGACATCCATATTAAGACATGGTTCTCGTCTGCTAAAGTTTACTGTCTAATGGGGGGAGCCAGCTTTAACACAAGTAAATGGAACAGAGCATCAATGGGAT